TTTGGTTAACTACAAAGAAATATAATTCTACACTGGTATCATATATTCTAATTTAAATATATGATAATTATCAATAAATTTTTAACTAAAATAACAATATATATAATAATTGATAAAATAAAGAAAGTAATAATTATCTACTTAATTTTTTTTATACAGAAAGAGAATTTAATTTTTAATTGACTACATGTATATACAATAATTATCTCTTTTACTTTTTAGTTAATTACAAGCTCAGAAATTATGTTATATAATTCATAATTATTTATTTATTTCTTACCCCTCATTTATCATGCAGTTTTTAATATATAAATAAGGTATAATAATATTTTTTATTTTTATTAAAAAAATTATTTTTATAAAACGTTTGTTTATGTAAAATAATATTTATGTTGGTCTAAAATTATGTGTTAAATAGGAAAAGCGAAAACGACACCGTTTGGTGCTGCGAAAGCCACTTGCCTGGTTTCAAATCAATTTCATCCTTGGCAAAATAAATCAAATCTTCGGTTTCTTCTTCGACCCGACAGGGCTTTTCTCCCTTTCCGACACTGCGATCCAGCGGAAGCGCTCTGATCCCAATCGTATACATCTCATCGATATCGCCGTCAATGGAGATCCCAATCGCAAAGTCTCTGATCTCTGCACTGATAGCTCTGATACTCATATCGACGTCGTTCGCGAGCACAGACGTTCCTTTCATAGTGGCCCACAAGAAGGCCGCTCTCACCAGGCTCAAGTCCGGCGCTGAACGCGTCTCCGTCTCAATTGATATCTACAACCAAGGATCCTCGTCAGTTTAATCTCTTTTGCTTTATAATTTTCCTTTCGTTTCCTGTCTCTTACGTTCAGATCTAGCTTCGAATTTTGTTGTGTCGCTTCGATTAATTTCTCTGCATGCTCACACTTTATTGAGTTTCTATTGATTTCTTGTGGAATGTAAATTCCGTGCCCTATTTTCACTGATGTAAGAGCACTTTGGGGTATTAATATTTTTGGACCTAGTAATTAACAGCCTAGGGTTCGACTTGTTGATCAGGTTTGGTTTTGGTTACTGCATAGTTCTTGATTTGCCTCAAATCCTAGCAGCCGGTTGAAAAGAAACAAGATGGGGTATTTTTGGCTGAGTGAAATGAGTGATTATGGTTTGTGGAGTCGTGCATAGTTTGACTGGTAGTTTGCTGGCTGCTTTGATAATTGCTAACATGGCTAGAGGAGGATTGGTTGTCAAAAGTTCCAGTTTGTGAGGACACAAATAAATGGAGGATTTATAGGGGTCTCAGTTGTTGATTGTCTTCCACTTGATGGCATGTTTGATATCTCTTGGTATTGGCACTGGTCGAAACTTGAATGTCAATGATGAGTTCTTTGCCCAATTTATCTGCTTGAGTAGTTTCAGAATTGTTTGGAAGGGTATGTGTAGTCTGTACATACACCTGTTATTTCAGCAATCAATTGCTATGTTTTGTCTTTAAGTTCATTCCTCGTTTGATATTGTCTGGTTCTTGTTGAATGTTAGCTCAATGCTTCACTGAGTTCTTTTGTCCTACTGGTTTTGGAGACTGTGTCTGTTTCTATGTGTTGTCTGCATATATCATGTTATTCAAGCTATTAGGTGTTGAATTTTGTTTTTGTGAATTTCCAGGACAGCATATGATGTAACACTTGTTGATGATAGCTGGCCCAAAGATGCATTTGATGTTGTCAGTGGTAACGCTTCTCAGTCATGGGAAAGGCTTGATGCGTGAGTTCCATCCCTCAGTAGTTGATTATCTTTGTTGCAGAGCCTTGTTCTTTTTTCATTTTTCCCTTCTAATTTGTCAACATATCGGAAAACGTTTTGACTGGCAGTGGAGGTATTCTATCTCACTCTTTTGAACTGGAGGGCAAAGTGAAAGGAATGTTCTATGGTGCACCAGCTATGATCACTTTCCGTGTACCTACAAAATCTGCTCTACAGGTTAATCATTTACACTAATATTCCTTACTTCTTTTGAAGTGAAAAACAAAGTTACTGCCCAAAAATAAAGGAAAAAATTTTATGTTCTAATCATATGATTGTTTAATGTTTCTAGGAATCATATTCAACTCCTATACTGCCTCTAGATGTCCTTGCAGACAGAACCCCAGAGAAGAAGTTTGAGTGGGTAAGTTTCTCCTAGGTTAAGCAAGATATCAAATAAGCTGCATTTGGATATTTTTATCTTTGTTAACTAAATCATTGTTACCTTGTTTCATGTGATTTTCCTTGGATGCGGCCAAATATTTGCAGGCTAAGGTATGAATGCTTCTCCTAATACCCTCAACATCCTTGAAAAGTTGTTAGAAAAGAACATGCATTTAGACTGCCTTTGAGACCAATGGAAATTACGACTCCTTTTTGTCCCCCCTTTTCTTTTGAATTCTTCATATATATACATTGAATTTGGATGGATCTCAAACGACTTGGATGAAGAGTACACTGAAAGTTAGGCCTGCATATCATTTATATACAAAAAATTACCTAAGTGAGAACCTTATGCTATTATCTGTTAGGGCCACATTATCCCTTTCCACTGGTTGTGGTTGGGTCTTTATGTTTGTAGCAATTGAATTTGATCTAGTGGCACCTTCGGTTGCCAATGGACCATTTTTTCATGGGTGCATCTTTTAAACAGAAGGACAGTCTGGTTAATATCCTCAAATGATTTGTGTTTCTCCTTTCAGGAATTGTGAATTTTGTAAGGAATCTATTTACATTTTTCTTTTAGATCTTAAATGTGTTTTCTTTTGTCTAATTACAGAGATTGCTGGCTAAATACGGATCCCTCATCTCTGTGATCTCTATCATCGTTCTGTTTGTGTTCTTGGTTGCTTCACCATCAAAATCTGGTGCTGCAAAAGGAAGCAAGAAGAAGCGATAAATTATTAGAGCTGCAAAAAAAAAAAAATTATTAGAGCTGCAAAGTAATCCGGCAGTATGTATCACACTGGATATTACGTGTTGCACGAGCATGTCTTTCCTGTTCCTAGTGAAAGTAGTTTTTTTCCCTCTTAAATTTAGAACCTTTTTGTTTATTTCAAAAAAAAATTTAGAACTTTTTGTTGTTGGAAACTCTTAATTGGATGACTTTTAACCAGTTAGCAAAAGGTGAACCAGTTGATTCTTACTTTGCCAAAGTGCTGAATTTGTTGTATCAGATTTGTACATTTCACTTTTGGTGCTCATCAACTTTTAGGTTGAAGATTACTACTCTTCTATATTGAAATTTGTTTCAGTTTATTATCTAAATGGCTTTTGATGTTTCTTGGCATAGGCCCGTTTAGTAGTTAGCAGCTTTATAGGAATACTGATATTTTATTATTTCAAATAATAAGAGAGGGTCCTACAAGTACATGGTACGCTAACCATATTTAAACATTAAATATACATCAACACAACAAATAAATCAAAGAAACAACAGCTGAAACAGATGAGAATCTCTCATACTAAAAAAGAAACCTAGCTCCGTGAGCTGAAGAATACCGCAAGACTAGCCGCTGCTCTATCATGCAGTCGCTGGGTTGACTGCTATTCCAGGTACTGCAAAACTGGAAAGGCTTTCAGTGATATGCTTGGATGCTTTCTCGTAGTTAACAAATCCCATATACCAGAAATCGTGACCGTCAATCGTGACAATCTGGATGTACTTCTCTGATGGATTGTCCCTCATAACCACTGGGTTGATGGTGCCGATCTTTCCCAGAGGTACCATGACCTGTTCCAGCCAATTGTTAGATATAGATAGATTTGCTATGAACATGTGTTTTTTGATTAATAAAATTTCTTTTCGTGCTCTAGTTTAGAGAGATTTTGGTTTGAGTTTTACCTTGTAGTAGCTCCAAGTCTGCTGGCCGGAAGGTGCAGTGAAGGACAATGGACGGTCACTGCAGAATGCTATATGAAAATTTGAAAGGTAAATAGTTCCAGCCACTGGTCCTGTGGTTGTTGAGAGGTAACAAGCAAATGACTTCTTTAGCTTCTCATTTGGATGAGTCGTGAATGCCTGCTTGTAAAGTTGCTCAAACCCACCGCTGGAAATTGCCTTGGCCGTCAGGTTCATCTTTCCCCAAGCAGCCCCAGAAACAGAGGATCCTGTCTTCACTGGTAAAAGCAGAGCAAGAAAGGCACGTCAAAAAAACATGTTCATTTTAGACTAGTGTTTTGCGATCGCAACATGTTTATACGAAACAGAACCAGGCATGTGTATATAGGATTAGATTAATATTATGAGACTTACAATTGTGCCATATATTGTTTGCCATGGTCTCTGCTTTATTGCTCCATGAGTTGAACATGTTGAGAATGGATTCCATGGGACTACTGTTGCTTGACTTTTCAGTAGGAGAGTAGTAGATATAAGGATGGTGATGATGATACTGAGCCTGGTCACCAGCTCCCCACATGGCGGCTTTTTTGTTGTCTGGGTGGCATGTAGGTACTGCTGGTGCACCCATGATATGTGTCCCCCAT